TCGGGGTGCTTGATTATATCCACTTTCAAATGAATGTATTTTGTTTTAAATATACCATTTCTTTTGTTTCTTTTACTACCAATACCAATACCGTAGTACCAATAATTTTTATAAAAATGTTTTATTTTGTTCACATTTAAGGCTTGTGTTATTTCTTTCTTCGTGTTTCTTATGAGTGCAAAAAAACGAAATAAACATAGAAAAAAAGAAATAATTCTAAGAAACAAGTCATTTTAACCAAGCACCCAGAAAACGGGGGTTTCTATTTAAGATTTCAAAGTTACCTCCCTCCCCACCTACAAGAGGTAGGGATGAGGGACTAATTTTAGCACTAATGCATTTCCCCTGCGGAATGATTAAATTTTGATAAATCTGAAATATATTAACGACAAGCAATTCCTTCTGCAATAGACACATTTATTTATCATTTTCATTCCAAACTCGTGATTTAGTAAGGATCAAATGTATAATTTAAATTTCCCAAACTGCATGATTTATAATAAATATGGTGTGCCACATCGAAATCATTATTATTGAAATTATTTGAAAACGTATTCCTGAATACTTATTAATGCGACAGAACAACAGAAGCAATCGATAATCGACTTTTAATGTGGTATACTGTGTCAGTCTTTTAACTTTCAAATATCAGATATAACCACTCTAAGAAAAAATGTCTATAATCAAAATTTATTCACTCCACGGAGGGAACATATTAGTACTAAAATTAGTCCCACTCCCCCCTCCTTGAATATGAGAGGGGGATAACTTTGAAATTTTAAATAGGAACCCCTATTTTTTATTGCAGGTTCGGATCAATGGCTATAAGTAGTTAGGATTGTTCTAAAACATTTTTTTAGATTTCATGATGACGCTTTAATGGACGAAACTTTTTTTAATTTCTCCTGGTGAACCTATGCATACGATCCTGCAATGCGTTTGCAATAAAAAAAAAATGCCACGTTTTCACTGAAAATAATCAAAATTAGGTTTAAAACAAATTTTATTTCTCAAATTTTCAATTACTGAAAAATGACTTGTCAAGAACTACTATTACCGTAATACAGGAACCGGCGTCGTTTTTGGGATTTTGGTCAATTCGATTTATGACTTATCGGAGTGCTTGATTATATCTGCTTACAAATGAATGTATTTTGTTTTAAAGATACCATTTCTTTTGTTAAAAATAATTTTTATAAAAATGTTTTATTTTGTTCACATTTAAGGCTTGTGTTATTTCTTTCTTCATATTTCTTATGAGTGCAAAAAAACGAAATAAACAGAAAAAAAAGAAATAATTTTAAAAAACAAGTCATTTTAACCAAGCACCCAGAAAACGGGGGTTTCTATTTAAGATTTCAAAGTTACCTCCCTCCCCACCTACAAGAGGTAGGGATGAGGGACTAATTTTAGCACTAATGCATTTCCCCTGCGGAATGATTAAATTTTGATAAATCTGAAATATATTAACGACAAGCAATTCCTTCTGCAATAGACACATTTATTTATCATTTTCATTCCAAACTCGTGATTTAGTAAGGATCAAATGTATAATTTAAATTTCCCAAACTGCATGATTTATAATAAATATGGTGTGCCACATCGAAATCATTATTATTGAAATTATTTGAAAACGTATTCCTGAATACTTATTAATGCGACGGAACAACAGAAGCAATCGATAATCGACTTTTAATGTGGATAGAAAATTAAAAGTCAATTGACCAAATGACAGATTTCCTTAGCATATTTTAATGTCTCAATCTAAATTTTTAGACAGACTTTACAATCTTGCGAAATACAATAATTAAATAGGTTAAATACACACAATTCTAGATTTTTCTATTTACCTGTACATTATTCCCATATCTGGCAATAAATGAAAAAATTAGGTTGATCTGCTAATCATGTTGATATGAGATTATTGCTTGTAATGTAGAGGTAGAACACAGACTTCGTATTGGTAATAAATTATTTATTTTACTCATTTTAGATTATATGTAGATATTTTGTGTACATTTAATATCGCTCATATATACCATTTGCATTGTTGTCGACAAACGAATAATTTAAAATGTAAACAGATATATCGACATACTTTCATCCAGCGTAAACAAACTGATGATCCATTTTTATAAAAATGAATTTATACTCATATGGAATGCATACTTATATCTTGAAAATACTGAGACAAGAAACCTTTATATTTTATGGCCAGTTAAACTTTTATGATCATGTTTGTATTATGTTCCAAATTTTTTATATATGTATAAACATATTTGGGCATAATGTAAATAACTAGAGGTATGTTCTGCTCCTACACAAATTAACAAATTAGGCGATTACTATTATTTTCTAGTTCTAAAACAAAAATAATCAAGTTATATCAAATATGAAATATAAACAATACCTACGGACAAAGCAAATCCGATCACTAAAGCAACGTTTTTAAAAGAAATCGAAACTCCAGGTACTAAAAATAAAATCGGGATCTCTTCACACGTATTTGAATTTTATTTTGAGACAACGCATTCCTAATACTCCATTATAAATTAATTTAAAAAAATCTTGTAAATATGTGACCAGAAAACTTTGTATGACACAGGATGCTCAAAATTAATGAAAAAGTATTTAAGTGTTAAAAACAGGTTAAAGGGAACCACATGGGTAATATACAGTGTGTTCCCGGAGGGAATACCGCACTCTTGTAAACTTTTTATTATTGACTTTTGAAGGAAAAGTTTTTCTTTATGAAAAGTTTTACTTATCTTGGGAAGATATGGCACTAATCAAATAATAAAACATACACGGCGTCCAAAAAGTTTCAATATGTGAAATTTTTCTTAAGCAAAGTGCGTTTAATTTTTGATTTCGTTAAAAACTGTATTTAACGAAGTTGTTCGTGAACTCAATACGGGGTTTAGTCAAAAAAAAGAACAATAATCACATTTTGCAATTAAAAATACCACGCAATTTTTAACTATATTACACACCATATAATATGGATATTTCCTTATCAATGTCAAAATCAACATATTTATTTTTATTAACTGCCCACCGAATATTTTTTATTAATAAAAAGGCGGAAATACACATGCCTCTTGCTTGCACAATAGCATGCAAGAAGTAGCTTGCAGGAGATAGCTCCTGGTATGTATTGTGTATTTATTAAAAGNCCTAATACCACAGTATAAATTAATTTAAAGAAATCTTGTAAATATGTGACCAGAAAACTTTGTGGATGGACACAGGATGCTCAAAATTAATGAAAAAGTATTCAAGTGTTAAAAACAGGTTAAAGGGAACCACATGGGTAATATACAGTGTGTTCCCGGAAGGAATACCGCACTCTTGTAAACATTTTATTATTGATTTTTTAAGGAAAAGTTTTTCTTTATGAAAAGTTTTACTTATGTTGGGAAGATATGGCACTAATCAAATAATAAAACATTCACGGCGTCCAAAAAGTTTCAATATGTGAAATTTTTCTTAAGCAAAGTGCGTCTAATTTTTGATTTCGTTAAAAACTGTATTTAACGAAGTTGTTCGAGAACTTAATACGAGGTTTAGTCAAAAAAAAAAGAACAATAATCACATTTTGCAATTAAAAAGACCACGCAATTTTTAACTATATTACATACCATATAATATGGATATTTCCTTATCAATATCAAAATCAACATATTTATTTTTATTAACTGCCCACCGAATAATTTTTATTAATAAAAAGGCGGAAATACACATGCCTCTTGCTTGCACAATAGCATGCAAGAAGTAGCTTGCAGGAGATAGCTCCTGGTATGTGTATTTATTAAAAGGTATGCCTGTAGAAGTCGCGCAAGTAAATTGCACATCATTTGATTTTTTGTCATGCAATGTGAGGCGGGGGGTTTCGGGGGAGTTCAAGCGGCATGTCGGAGCGTGTCTACTTGCTACCTACTGACATGCCAATAAGCCATAATACTAACGAGACATTCCATTTTACTTGCAAATGTATCAGCAGTGTGCCATCTGCCGGCATATGCCAATTCTTAGCATGCAAGTTACTTACCTATTTTACTGGTATGTGTATTTCCGCCTTAATGCTAACCCCGGAGAAACGAATTTATCTTCTGAAATGTTATGAAATCGGTAATGTTTCATATCGATATGCAATACAACTTTTTAATGAAAAATGTCCAAATGTATTTTATATTATATCAAATTTTAAATAAGAGTTTACTTATTTTTACAATTTCTATCTGCTTTAAATAAGATCCCGTCTTCTTATTTGAAAAAAGGGATTATTATTCTTCTTTTTTTACTAAACCCTGTACTTAATCATTTCTTGAGTTCTCGAACAACTTTGTTAAATACAATTTTTAACGAAAACAAAAATTAAAGAGAAAATTCCACATTTTGAAATTTTTTGGACGCCCTGTATGTTTTATTACAAATTTGGTTACTGCCCATGATCAACAATAACCTTTTCTCGAAAAGCAACGATAAAAAAGTTTATAAGAGTGCGGTAGGCCACCGATCCAAGGACACACTATTATTTTATTCATAACATGGTTAAATGAATTTATTGTTACCATTAATAAAAAAATAATGCCATGACACTTTTAAGAATAATATTTATACATTGGACATTTTGCCGTTTATCTCTTAGCAACATGCAGTAAAGACATTTATAAAAAGAACAGACATAAAATAAATCACGATTGAAAAGTATTAAATCCGCCCCTGAAAGTATGCACCTCTACGTACAAAAACATAACATCTCCAACAACAAAAAACGAAAACTACCAACCAAATTTAAAAAAAAAATCACTATAATTTAAAAAGCACATATTTTTTAAATCGCCCCGTGTCTCTGAAATGAAAAGTTTTCGGAAAATATTTAAAAACGACTAATGTTTGGTCAATCATTTTAGTTACATTCTGTATATGCTAATTTTATAAAATTTTAATTTACTGTAGGTAACGCATATTATTGCTGTTTAAAAGCTTTTACATACCTTTTCGCCTCTCCCTACACCTGGATATACCAGTACAGCACAAAACACAACCGACGTAAACAGCACCCGCTGTTATTCCCACAATTAGTGCCGACATTTTGCCTCGTTCACTCGACACGATTTTCTGCACTTGACACCGTATAACATTAACTATATATATGTATAAATCTGTTGCTTATGAACCCAATAATAATTATCTTATCGGAGTAACATGATAAAAGCGAGAATTCACAAAAAATCTTATTTACAATATGTTATTGTAAGATACAGTTGAAGGATTCTCTTGAGTGCTATAGGAAATACTCTTCGAGACAATTCTATGTACAGTAGCAAGTAAGTCATTCGACTATGGAGTGTACGATTAAAACCTTGTTCACTGCACTGACAGCGCTCATTTACTCATGTATTCGGTTTACCACAAGGGATTACTCTTACTTCCTATTGCAATACATTTTCTTTCTTAGAAGTTAGTAGAGGAATTACCATTCATTATAGTTTCAAGTAGTTACAAAATTCGACAGAAAAATTATAACCAACGTCTTAAAAATAACTACATTCATATTTATATGTTGCTTAAAAAAATATATTTAAAATTTTTTGTTTTAAATAAAATTAAACAAGAATTTCTGTTTTTTTATGTATTTTAGGTAAATTGTCACTATACTGCTTCAGCAAACATTCTACTTCATTTTACGAGGTTAATTATGCATTTTTTTAACTGACACACTAACCTTTTTTTATTTATCAGTATTCTTCAAGACTAATACTTAAAACTACATATACTAAAATACGAAATATGTCATATGTATTTAAACCATTAAATAGAAGTATCATAAACATATTTAAGAAAAGTTATTTTGACGGTTTTTCCAACAGTATAAAAATCAATAAGAAGCTTCGTTTAAAAAAAGCGTAGTTAGGCTTATGTATACAGGGTGCCCCTGAAAAGGATGGACAACGCTTGACCACAGGTTCCTTGGGTGAAAATAAGACTATTTAGAATTAGAATAACGTACCTATATAGGGTGAGTCAGAAAGAATGGGTCAACAGTAAACTGGAGATACTAGACACCAAAATATTATATTTGAGCTCATCATGCATTATACGAATGTTGCTGATTTAAGAAATACAGGGTGTTCAAAGTTTAAATTTTATTTTGAAATTTCTCAATAATTCAGAAAGTTTTGATAGCATGACTGAAAATTGGTAGTGTTGGGTTTTTGGTGTGAGAATTACGAATTTGAAGCTTATTTTGATGTTGCTCCTAGAGGACGCTAGTTTCACCGTATTATTTAGGTAAATCAGAACATATGATTAAAAAAGTTAAAAATCTAAAAGAACGTTCAATTCTACATAAAAAGTGTACTCTTGTTTAAGTCGCCTAACTTTATCGGTTTCTCAGTTATTTGCATTTAAAAGTTTCAATGTATTTTGTGGTGATTTTTTATTCTCAGAAGATGAAAATCAGAACAAGAATTATTGATAATAGTAATAATAACAAACCATAAATCAAATGCTGAAAGTTTCCAAAATGTCCCTATTATTTTTAAACGCATTCGCGGTTACTTGTATTTTCTGTCGCAACTCCTCAACATAATTAATTTCTTCACGATACACCACATCCTTCAAGTTTGACCACACTTAGAAGTCCAGAGGGTTTAAGTCTGGACTTCTGGGTGACCAACTAAATTCATTCCCACGGCCAATCCACCGATGACGAAAATGTTCATTTAAATACTGGCGTACTGGCAAGGCAAAATGTGCTGGTGCACCATCGTGCATAAACCACATACTCTTAAAGCGAGTGGTACATCATCTAAAAGCTCTTTTAAATTATGTTGAATGAAATTTAAATAATGAGGTCCAGTTAGATTGGATGGCAATTCAAAAGGTCCTATGAAAAAAACAGAAATTAAACCACACCAAATATTCACCTTGAACTCATGCTGAAAAGGTCTTTCTTTTACTGCATGCCGAATCTCACAAATGATTGTTCTTCCAATTGAAAACTCCTCGTCTAGTAAATGTCGCCTCATCAGTAAATAAAATTTTATTGAGGAAATCTGGGATTTCCGTTTGCATATTTTGTATAAACTGAGCAAATTGTAGGCGAACTGGTAAATCTTGAGACAATAACTGATGAACCGGAGTATAATGACATGGATGGAACATTTCTTTTTTCAAAAATTCTACAAATGGACGATTGGCTTACCCCCGTTGCCACACTTAACCGACGAGTACGAGTAGTAAAATTTTCTCTTCTTCGTCGACTATGATAGATTTTGGAGTACCATGGTTATTTTTGGTCGAAAAGCGATTGCAAAGATTTCTGAATAGTTTTTAATTAGGGTACAATTGCACATATCTTCGGACCGCCGCATGTTCATTAAAATTAGCCTAAGCAAAAACACAAATCATATTATGCATCTCACTGTTAGAAAAATTATTGTCATGGCATATTTTGATCACTAGCTAATAATTTTGCACGAATAATAAATCAGACGCACGCAAAATACGTTAATATTTATTGACGTGAAAATTTGACACAAACCCACTTAGAAAAGAAATGGCAATATCAGCGCCTGAAAAAAAATCACCACAAAATACATTGAAACTTTTAAATGCAAATAACTCAGAAACAATAGTACATTTTTTATGTAGAATTGAATGTTCTTTTAGATTTTTAACTTTTTTAAAGCATAGCTCAACAGATAAAAAAATATATTCTAATTTATCTAAATAATACAGTGAAACTAGCGCCCCCTAAGAGCACCGTCAAAATAAGCTTCAAATTCGTAATTCTCACACCAAAAAACCCAACACTACCAAGTTTCAGAATTATGCTATCAAAACTTTCTCAGTTATTGAGAAATTTCAGAATAAAATTGAAACCTTGAACACCCTGTATTTCTTAAACCAGCGACATTCGTATAAGGCATGATCAGCTGAAACATAATATTTTGGTGTCTAGTATCTCCAGTTTAGTGTTGACCCATTCTTTTTGACTCACCCTGTATATAAAAGTGCACGCCTACTGACATATATCCTTCTAAATATAGAACAGATAACCTAGTTTTTCCAAATAATTTGAAAACTGTTTTTTTAGAATCTTCAAATTTCGTACACTTATTTTTTAAATACAGAATTTGGTGAGAATATATCGGGCGTTTCACGTCAACGGGCACAGTGGGCTGCCCAGAATAAAAATGCATCAAAATTGACGTTCGACGTGTCAAAAGCTTCGTATTTAAAAACTCTATCGAATGCCGTCTGGTGATTTTAAAAAAACATCATGGCGGTTCCAATATGGCGTCCGCAATCATGAAAAATTCTGTTTAATGAGCAATATTGATAGAAAAGAAACATAAAAATACTGCATTGTAGACTGAATCACCATATCTATACGTTTTTGGGGTTGCTGATTTCGAATTCAATATTCATTAAACCCCAACTGGTCACTGTTCGTCTATAACCTTAAAAATACTTCAAATCGTTGAAATAATGCGTTTCTACGATGATTAATACAGTCTAACCACCACANATTCATTCCCACGGCCAATCCACCGATGACGAAAATGTTCATTTAAATACTGGCGTACTGGCAACGCAAAATGTGCTGGTGCACCATCGTGCATAAACCACATACTCTTAAAGCGAGTGGTACATCATCTAGAAGCTCTTTTAAATTATGTTGAATAAAATTTAAATAATGAGGTCCAGTTAGATTGGGTAGCAATTCAAAAGGTCCTATGAAAAAACCAGAAATTAAACGACACCAAATATTCACTTTGAATTTATGCTGAAAATTACTTTCTTTTACAGCATGCGGAATATCACAAATGATTGTTCTTCCAATTGAAAACTCCTCGTCTAGTAAATGTCGCCTCATCAGTAAATAAAATCTTATTGAGGAAATCTGGGATTTCCGTTTGCATATTTTGTATAAACTGAGCAAATTGTAGGCGAACTGGTAAATCTTGAGACAATAACTGATGAACCGGAGTATAATGACATGGATGGAACATTTCTTTTTTCAAAAATTCTACAAATGGACGATTGGCTTACCCCCGTTGCCACACTTAACCGACGAGTACGAGTAGTAAAATTTTCTCTTCTTCATCGACTATGATAGATTTTGGAGTACCATGGTTACTTTTTGGTCGAAAAGCGATTCAAAGATTTCTGAATAGTTTTTAATTAGGTAATCTATTTGGGTACACATATCTTCGGACCGCCGCAAGTTCATTAAAATTAGCCTAAGCAAAAACACAAATCATATTATGCATCTCATTGTTATAAAAATTATTGTCATGGCATATTTTGATCACTAGCTAATAATTTTGCACGAATAATAAATCAGACGCACGCAAAATACGTTAATATTTATTGACATGAAAATTTGACACAAACCCACTTAGAAAAGAAATGGCAATATCAGCGCCTGAAAGAAAATCACCACAAAATACATTGAAACTTTTAAATGCAAATAACTCAGAAACAATAGTACATTTTTTATGTAGAATTGAATATTCTTTTAGATTTTTAACTTTTTTAAAGCATAGCTCAACAGATAAAAAAATATATATTCTAATTTATCTAAATAATACGGTGAAACTAGCGCCCCCTAAGTTCACCGTCAAAATAAGCTTCAAATTCGTAATTCTCACACCAAAAAACCCAACACTACCAAGTTTAAGAGTTACGCTATCAAAACTTTCTCAGTTATTGAGAAATTTCAGAATAAAATTGAAACCTTGAACAGCCTGTATTTCTTAAACCAGCGACATTCGTATAAGGCATGATGAGCTGAAACATAATATTTTGGTGTCTAGTATCTCCAGTTTAGTGTTGACCCATTCTTTTTGACTCACCCTGTAAAAATAAAAAGAACAATACAGAGTAAGTTTTTTGTCACATTATTTCATTTTCTGTTAATGTCTGAGAAGGTGGCAAATACCCCATTGTGACAGATTTTTTGTTCAAAATGAGNTATACAATTTTTTTTATATAAGGGCAATGTAAATATAGAATTTGGTGATAATACATATACAGGATGTTCTCTTTCTAGTACCTGTGTGCCACTGGCTATCCCGTAACTTTTTTGCATGTTCGTCAATGACGACAGAATTTTATATTTTTAAAAATAAGCACTATTTTAGAAGATTTTTTGTCCCTTACAAAATTTTGATATCGTTTATGTTAAAGATTTTATTTCGAATAATAACCGAAAAATAGAGGAGGGCATTTTTCTCGTGGCCTCACTGTACATACGCCAAAATATGTAAAGATGCTAATCATTTCACATACCAATTGTCGTATTTACATGGAATT